GAAAGATCTCATGGATCTCGAGTCATGGCGGTATAACCATCCCGTTTAAGCCAGACGTGAAATACCACAACCTAAAACGGGAAGCAGCACCAAAAGTGCGAGATGTCTGGTGCTGGAAATTCACACGAGAAGCGAGGCGGTCAAAGCTACCTGCGGTAAGAGAGGTCCATGTCCAGCAGGACATTTATTTATTTAATCTTTATTGTTTTACACCTTAATCTAAGGGTTACAATGGGCGGACTTAATGCCTCCCTACCGGAAAAGTGTAGAATAAAAAAATAAGATACAACCAATATACAAAAAAAAAAAAAAATTATGAATATAGAAAGACAAAACACACACAAACACACACATATATATATATATATATATATATATATATATATATATATATATATATATATACAATGTCCTCCAGACCGAATTTCGGCCACGGTGGGCTGCCTCTCAACGAAGACTAATCACCGGCGCAGGACAGGATTATAGTGCCCAAGTGTATGCGCAAGCACAGGTGCACTCTCTATTCCCTCACTCTCATAATCCGATGGGACGGTAAACCGACACGACCGGAGAGAGATCAGGCGCAGGACCAACGGCTTTACGTGCTTTCCGAGGCACGGGACTGAGACACCGCCAACTTCCTGACTCCGGGCAACTACTAAGAATTTCTTGACGGAAAAACTCAATAATTAATTTTTGGCCCGACCCGGGTTTCGAACCCAGGACCTCATGAACAGCAGTCGCACTACTACAACCACTAGATTTTTTTTTGCGCCCGAAGCAATTAAAGGGCTACCCTATACGTAGGGAGGCGGAAAATGCATTACGCATACCACGATAGCCGGTCTATCGTGGTTATGAGGGGCTCACTGTCCTACCGGGGACCCTAAGTGATACCCTCTAAAAACCACCTTTGGGGACAGGCAGCCGGCTGATTAAGCTGTATTGTGCCTTATCATGAGCGACCCTCTTTTGGGAAAAGAGGGCGCAGGCGGCTAAGAGCCGCTGAGGGAGTGCCTACGAAGGCAAATTAATGTTAGTTAATACAATAATTTAATTTAATTAGAGTTGGCCTGAGCCGCCAGGAGGCAGTTCAGGTCGTTTGACAGTTTATTAGGCGGGTCCGAGAGAGAGTTTCTCGGCCTGCGGACACGATAGCGAGAGGGGGGTGGGGCTGCATAAGAAGCTGCCTCACGAATTAATTGGTTTGGGTGCGACTCTGAGGCTTTGAAGAAGTTCTCAGAGAGTTTTTTAAGAAATTGTTGAATTGTTGGGAGCTCTAAGTCCCGATGAAGGTCGGCATTACGGACGTACCAAGGTGCGTTCGCAGCTCGACGACAGAAGAGGTTCTGAACTATTTGGAGTTCATTTATAACATTAGGGTTTGCGTGGGCAAAGACGGGGCCCGCGTAGGACATGACTGGTCGTATACAGACCTTGTAAAGGGTACGCTTGTTTCGAAGGGACATTTTACTGTGTCGGCCCAACATACTGTTGAGCCTACTCAGATAAAACCGTGCGTGACGGGTTACTCTTTTGACGTGGGGCCTGAAAGTGAGCCCTGTGTCTAGAGTGACACCTAAATATTTGGCGGACGTATGCCAGGGGACAGGGGTCCCTAGCATACGTATTGGTGGAGTGTTTTTGAGACGGCGTCGTTTATAATCGAAGTGAACGGCGGAGCTCTTCTCGTCACATTGATGCGCCATTTTTTGAACCAAGCTCCTAGGTCATCAACTGACTTTTGGATCTTGTTTCGTATGAAGGGTAGTGAGACACCTTTGCAGTAGGTGGCAGTGTCGTCTGCGAAGAGGGAGAGTTGAACACCTTTCGACGGAATGGGAATGTCGTTGGTGAACAGGATGCACAGCAGAGGAGCAAGTACTGAACCCTGAGGGACACCAGCCTTGATAGTTCGCTGTGAAGATAGCGTACCTTCGTGTCTAAAACGAAAGGTACGATGTTTTAAATAGGAGGCCACGAGACGAACTAGACGATCGGGGAGACCTATTTTGTAGAGCTTGTAGATGAGGCCTGTGTGCCAGACTCTATCGAAAGCTTTAGCTATATCGAAAAAGACCGCGATGGTCTTATGACGACGAGGATAGAAACCGCTGAGGATATATTCCACAATGCGGTGAACTTGTTGGGGACATGAGTGTTTCGCTCGGAAACCGAATTGATGGGGAATGATAAGAGGGTCGCCGTCTGTGGGAAACAGATAGCGCCTCATACGCGTTTGGATGACTCTTTCGAAGAGCTTGCCCATTGCCTTGAGGAGGCTAATGGGGCGATGACTGGAGGGGGAGGTTGAGAGGCTTGCCTGGCTTGGGAATTCCAATCACAGTTGCCTCTTTCCACGTAGTGGAGAAATAACTAACCTTGAAGCAGGCGTTGAAGATAATAGATAAAAAGGTTAACACCTGCTCAGGAAAGTGTTTTAGGGCTTGGTTGGAGATGCCATCCGCGCCCGGAGCCTTTTTGGGCTTAAGTCCTTTGATGAGGGATGAAATCTCATCATTGGACACAGAGATAGGTTCGGAGGCCGTAGGGGGTGAGTTCCGGCGGCGGACCTCATCCTCCACTGCCTGGACGTGAGAGGGGTCGACGGGTGGAGAACTAGGAGAGCATTGAGCGGCAATGCTATCAGCAAAGCACTCAGCCTTTTCCTCGTCCTCGAAGGCAACCGTGCCGTCGGGACGGGAGAGAGGGGGAGTGTGGGTAATAGCGTCTATGCGGAGGGCTCTAGCCATCTGATAGTACGCTGTGTGAGATGGAGAGATATTCTCCATGAGCTTACTCTTTTCGAGGTCTCGAAATTCAGAGAGGCGGAAGCGGAGTTCTCGTTGAAGACGATTGGCCGCGCGCCTATATTCGGGGGTGGGATATTTTGCTGCTCTCCGGAAAGCAGCTTTTTTGGCTTTTAATAGGTTGCTAATATGTAGGGGAAGCCCACTATTGTTAGCAACCGGGATGACGCTTTCGTTCTCCTTAAGGGAGGATTTAATAAGGGTGGAGAGTGAATCGACTGCGGTGTCGATTTTTTCGGGACTATCTAAGTCCGACGGTAGGGAGATGGTAGAGTCCTGTGAGTCCAGAGCTTTAGCTAGGGACTCCTTGAATCCCTTCCAGTTAGTGAAGGTTTTCCTGTATGTTGGGGGAGGTGGCTGATGGCCAAGAATGAGGGAGACCGGTCGGTGATCTGATCCTAGATCGTCTAGTGTCTCGATTGCTCTGAGGTTGAGAGAAACTCCTTGGAGTAACGCAAAATCTAACACATTGGGGGCGTGATCGGTCTTATCGGGAAAGTGAGTAACACCGAGAGGACTATGGACGGTAATATCAAGAGACTGCGTGATATCGAGCAGTATCTTGCCACTAGGGGACGTAGTGCGGCATGTCCATTCAGTATGCTTGGAGTTAAAATCTCCAAACATAATGACTGAATTGCCTAAAGATAAAATGGCCTCAAAATCTTTTTTGAGGGGATAGGTTCCTGAAGGGATGTAACAGGAGGCTATGAGGATGGACTGATGTCCAGTCATAGCTAGCCTGCATACCGTGGCTTCCATGTTGGTAAGCTGCGGAGTAGAAATAGGCGAGCAATGAAGTGTCTTCTTGTGTTCCAGCCTCGGCGGTCGGGTCTGTCGTTACGAAGAAGGCAATCACTAGACCAACGAGGCAGTTATATATATACATCGACGCTTCACAGCCAAAAAGGGATAACCGCCAATTTTTGCGAAATTGACTTATATATATGGCTAGAATCGTCTTTTTTTTCTACGTATTTTGTTCTAAGTCTCATGGCTCTATTACATACTTTTTGTCGGTTAGGCAGTATATAAAATAAGGTCCTCAGCCTAATTTCTTTATCGTAAACGACACATATTTTGGTGATTTTTTTAATTTTGACGGTTAGCTGAAAAATGGTATTTTGAAACTGAGACATTAAAGTAATTATTAAGGCTTTTTTAAACATTTTTTTTGTTTGGACGTTAACCGGTTTGGGCTAGAAATAATTTATGTATAAAGATACATTTATTACATTTTGCTTTGACATCTATCACATAATATCTTATTGTGGTTTAAGATATTTAAGCCTTAATATTTCCTTCACTTCGTTTGTCGTTTACAGTTATTATTCCTGTTGCTGTACCAATTAACGGAGGAGCTTAATCCAAATTGTCCTAAAAACTCACAAAACTTAAATTGTCGTTTATTACTTTTTACCTCCCAATATTCGAACGAGTGTGGTGGTTAGATAAGCAGATAAAACTAAAATTTATACTTACACTTATTCAATGTCGCGGCATTTGTCGTTTACCTAGTGCAACAAAATCTAAAAACGTCGCTTATTTCTTTCATTTGTTCGAAACAAAGAAGGTTACGGTTACACAGTGAACATTTACTGCTCAAACGACTGGGGCACAAACGCCACGCACGTTATATTTTCTTAATACTATATGCGTAGGTAACTATTAACTCCCTATGTCACGAATAACGTTGGTGTATGTATAAATTTTTTGATGTTTATACTTGTCATAACTTTACACAGCGATTATTAATAAAAGAATAGTGTCATAGCAGTAATTTGGTAGGCACTTATGGTGAGGTGTCTGTACAACTTGACAATGATTTATTATCCCTTCCCCCCTGGGTGTGATTGAGTGTAGACGTGTATTTTGTTATTTAAATAGTCATTTAATTTAAGCGATTGAAATAAGTTAAAATTTTAAATAAGTGCCATAGTACCAGGAAAACATAATTTTATAAAGAGTAATTTGCAACTGGATGTGTCTGCTACGACCGCTACGGCAAGACACGCCCCACAGATGATACAGCACCTACTATCGCTACGCGCTACGTGATTCGTAAGTTAGTAATCTGTTACGTATCTTAAAACGATCGCTTAGTTAAATCTGTGCTCCTAGTAAGTCGCAAATTGAGCAGTCAATCTTAAAAGGTCTTGCGCTTACTTACTTTTATTATTATTTAAAAAAATGCCACTTAAAAGGACTCCTCCACCGCAACAGCCGAAGTCGGATACGAATCAGAGTTCAGCTGCTGCTACGGCCACAGATACCGATAATGATAGCTCTAGTAATGTTGCTAGCCGACCTCGTGGCCGTAAGCGCCAACATGATGACGAGGTATATGCTTTTATGTCGGATATGAAACAATCTTTTGATACCCTCAAAAATCAACAAGTTAAAATTCTAAGTAGTATTAGTGACATCCAGAAACAAAATGGGGATATTATTAAATCCATGGACTTTATCTCAAAACAGTATGATGAAATCAAAGATCGATTGTGTAAAATGGAAACCGAAAGAAAAACGCATTTAGCCTATATTCAGACCCTTGAATTAAAAGTGGAGAATCTCGAGAGATTTCAAAAACAGGCAAGTATTGAGATAAAGAATATCCCTGTCAAACATAATGAGACTAAAGATGACTTGTTACAGATAGTAAAAAAAGTTGGTCTAGTTACTAACACCCATATTGAGGACTCTCTCATTCGCGATGTATTTCGCTTGAATGAAGATAAACGGGGGAACAGGCCGATAATAGTAGACTTTTCAACTGCTATTTTAAAAGAAAAGATTTTAACATCCGTCAAAAATTATAACCGGATTAATAATACTAAAAAACTAAACACAGGAGATATACAATTTGAAGGACTCGCAAAGCCAATTTTCGTAACCGAATGTCTGACTCAAAAAGCAAAAAAACTATACTACCTCGCTCCAGAGTTTAGTAAAAGGAACTCCTATGCCTACTGCTGGACTGCTCACGGGAAAGTTTTCATCCGTAAAAAAGAAGGTGCTCCATCACATCGGATTGATTCGGAAAATGAACTAAACCAATTGCAGTCGCAATCTTCTTCGTGACTAAGCAATTTACTTCGATTTTTATATATTATTTTTAACATAATTTTATTACTCTCTAAATGTTTAAGTTATTCGTATCCTTTTGTTTACGTTGATTTAAAAACTTACTACATATTACCACAAACATTTATCATTGCTTTTCCTAATTGTATAATTTTTAATAATGTATACTACTCTCACACACTTACACTACCTAACCTACATCCTAATTCATTAAATCTTTATATCACTAATACTGTAATTCAACAGACTTCAAAATACAAGATTATAATAAATAATCTATTGAATGTAACAACGATATGCGCCTTTGAATATTCTCTTATTAATAGTTATACTTGATAATATCTCTAATGACATTGATTCAGTTTTTGTTTCCAATTCCATGATGCACTCCAGAAAACCTAGTTAATCAAATTAATCAGACCAGAAATTCTTTGATAGTGTTTCACACTAACATACGCAGCGTAACTTGTAATTTTGATGCACTAGCCATACTAATGGAAAGAATTTGTATTCAATGCGACATCCTTGTACTGACGGAATGCTGGCTAAGCAAATTATCAGTTATACCTGTAATTGCTGGGTATACGTCTTATTCTTCTGAGTATAATAACCAAAACGACGGTGTTCTGATATATATAAAATCTGAAATAAAGCATAGTATACATAAACCTTTAATTTCTGATGCGAATGGTCTTATCGTAAATTATGAAAATAAATATGCAATTTTAGCCATATATCGATCACCTTCACAAAAAAATATCAATAAATTTTTTGATAGCCTTGATCTCTGTCTTGCATCTTTAGCTTCTGTAAGATCAGTTATCTTGATTGGAGATATCAATATAAATATCTCTCCTAATAATAATGACCTTAATAGCAGTAAATATTTGGATTTAATGGCGCTCCACGGATATTTAGCAGCTCATTTAATCCCCACTCGTAACGAAAGTTGTATTGACCATGTAATGTTGAGATCAGATAGATATTCCGCAACATATATACTGGATTCGTTTATTACTGATCATGCTCCGATAGTGTTTCACTTAGATTGCAAAATTATAAGGTATCCATCCAAAAGCACAACTTTCAAAATTGATTATCCATCACTATTAAAACAATTATCTGATGCAGATTTTAGCTTTATATGCAATATCAAAGATGCCAATGAAGCAGCTACCGCTTTAACTAAAACTATTACTGATGCCATAACTGCTGATTCCAATAAAATAAAAATTCCTCACCGTAAACGATGTATCAAGCCATGGCTAACTCCAGGATTGGTACGCTGTATAAGACACAGGGACAAATTGCACAAGAAAGCAAAACGCGATAAAAACAATGCAATATTACATATTACTTACACGAGATATCGCAATTTTTGCAACAACTTGTTGAAAAAAATTAAAACCGCATATGAGAAAGCTGAGTTCTGTAAAAATAAATGCAATCCAAAGGGTACTTGGAATACTATAAATAAGATCACTAACCTCAAACAATATTCACCCCCTCCATGTGAATTACTAAATCTAACTGATGATCCTCATAAATCTGTCGATATTGTTAATAATTACTTTGCAGAAATTGGCCCATCTTATGCTAACTCAATATTAAAAACTCAGCAATACATTGACCACCCAAAAATTGTTAAAGATAGTGATGAATCTAACCGCTTGCATAAATCTATGGTATTGCTTGACACAGACTATTACGAGATAGAAGCTATTATCATAAACTTAAAAAATGATTCAGCCACGGGAATCGATAGCATACCTACCCTAGTCATAAAACGTGCCAAAAACAGACTGATTTCCCCCATAACATATTTGTGTAACCTTTGTTTAAAAACTGGTCTTTAAAATATCTGGAAAAACTGGTGTTTTTCCCAGATATTTTAAAGAGGGCTCTAGTTCACCCTATACATAAGAGTGGTGACAGAGACACTGTCGAAAATTACAGGCCTATATCTGTACTAAGTGCGATAGCCAAAATTCTTGAAAAAGTTTTAAATCTCAGATTCACAAATTTTCTTAAACATAACAATATAATTTCAGATAATCAATTTGGCTTTGTGAAAGGTAAGTCTACTGAAGATGCAACTTTAATTCTAACTGAGACAATCGCAAAACATCTTGATAATAAGTTGAAAGTTATAGGTGTTTTTCTTGATTTGTCAAAGGCGTTCGACACTGTCTCTATTCCCCTACTTCTGCATAAGATGGAACTGATCGGCGTACGAGGAATTGCTTTAGATATATTTCGATCTTATCTATCTAATCGCACGCAGTTAGTTAAAATCGGTGATTACACTAGTTTACCTACTACTGTCTCGTCCGGTGTACCACAAGGTAGTGTACTAGGCCCAACTCTCTTTCTAGTTTACGTAAATACTTTATGCTCACTTACCTTGCCTAACTGCAAAATCATTTCGTACGCAGACGATACGGCTTTAATTGTATATGGTAAGGACTGGAATGAAGCCCAACACAATACAGAACATGCGCTTGGAAGGGTCATGCGGTGGCTTAGTAGCAATCTATTGACATTAAATGTAAACAAGACTAAATATATTACTTTCACTCACCGTGCCAGTACCCAACCATCAGCGGAATTTTATATCAAAGCACATACATGTGAACAACATAGCTTATGCAACTGCCCAAAACTTACTCGTTCCACTAACATAAGATACCTCGGACTTATCATTGACTACTGCCTATCTTGGTCAGAGCATATAAGCAATGTAACCTGCCGTATTAGAAAACTGATACCAATATTCAGAAAATTGAGGAATTCTGCTGACTTTGAAACATTGATATGTGTTTACTATGCTCTTGCTCAAAGTTTACTACAATACTGTATTGCAACATGGGGTGGAATTGAAAAAACAACTTTACTCCCCTTAGAACGTGCTCAAAGAGCAATTTTAAAGGTAATGCTAGGTAAATCACAAAGATTTAGCACCAAACTTATTTTTAAGGAATGCTCTGTACTTACTGTAAGACAGCTTTTTGTCATGTCTGTTATACTACGTAAGCACAAAAATACAGAGTTTAAACCTAATTTAAAACGTTATAAAAATAGAATTTGTGACATGGTTTCTCATAGAACTGCTTTAGCACGTCGTCAATATTATGTCACTAGCAACAATATTTACCCTTTGTCCCTTTATAAATGTAAAGATAAAATCCTAAATTGGTTGCTAAACCTTAATTACCTGGAAACAGAGAAGTTAATCAGTATTTAAGTTCTAACACACACACACACGCATACACACACATTACACACACACACACACACACACACACACACAACACAACACACACACACACACACACACACACATACACACACACACACACACACACACACACACACACACACACACACACACACACACACTCACACACACACACACACATACACGCACTGGTTTGTGGTAATTAGAAAGTTTTCTCTTCATTTTTTTAAAATTTATTATTATTATTATTTAACTTAATTAACTTTATTATTTAACTTAACATGGTTGTGTATTATATAGCGAAATAATCTGTCATTTTTTACTGTATTTGTATTGTACTACTCAGGGTGGAAGACGCTGACGGCTGTAACACAGTTTATACTAGTATGGCCGTTAACGTTAAAACTTTGAAATGCAATTTTGTAACTTTAAATAGATATAATACATAAGTGTAACCTGTTAATTGAGAGTCAAATAAATTATTATTATTAAAAAAAAATTATTAATATTTCAGGATATCATTATGGCTCAAAACCAACGTGCATCTAACATTATCCACAATTCCAACATAAGCTTCCATACTCAAAGAAAACTTAATTTTCATAACCCAGAACCACCAGATGATGAGGTAAGAATGATTGTAACTGGCCACTATTATGAGAAATAAGGGGTATCTTATGTCTTTATACAAATAATTATTTATATAAAACCGTTTTTTTTATTTCTTTCTAGGAAATTAATCTATGGTATAAAATAAATTCACCATGCTCCGCTCCTAGTGAAACAGTCTACACAGAACTGAATGTACATAAAGAGAATTCAATTTGTAAACATCAAGATATTGCTAAAAGGTATTGTTAGTAAATGAAAATAAAGAAGCAGAGTCCCTCACCTCCAGTTAAAACCGAAATGACAAATGTAGAGCCAATTGATTACGTTTTCGATAAGAAAAATGAGAGCTATACTTTGTTCAACAACGACAAAGTTACTTGTCCAGAGCAGTCCGGTAGTCAATTAACAACCGAGGATGAAGACACACCAGCACAAACACCATATACTGCAGAAATTGAGATTACGTCATTACTTAAAACTCCGATTTATTGTGACGTGATAGAACTTTTGCCTTCTACCATCTAGAGTGCAGTATTGCAGTCACAACTTATGTCACAATTAAAATAAAAATGTTAACCCATCAAGCTTAAAGAACAAACGTAATGCGAAACAACACAAAAAATACTTTGATTATTTATCAGATGATGAAGATTTTAGAGCAAATTTTGGAGATATAAATTGCTTGCGGTACGTACACACCTTCTTCAGATTCGTCTGACTCTGATGAGAAAATAAATAATGCTAGTAAAAAAAAACGAATGATGTCCAACAAAAGTAAAGAAAACATAAAAGAGCCAATGGATCAATCAAAACTTAATGTATTCGAAGAAAATGCAATGAAAGGCAGCAAAGGAATAAAAAGAGAAAGAACGAAGTATTCTAAAACAATCTGGTCAAGCATACACTACGCAAGATGGGACTAAAAAATACCTGCTAAAGATATTAAACCTAACCCATGCAAAGAAAAAAATATGGCAATTATTGTGATTCTATCAAAAATGAGAAAGAAAAAATATTTTTGACTATTTTTGAAGTCTATCATCGATACGATGCAAAGATTGGCTGATATTTATGATACAGAAAACAGCTATAAAAAGAAAGAGAAACAAATAATCTGAGAAACGATCCTACACTTACAAATATTTTG